CGAATTCTGCCGATTTCATTTCGACACTTTATCAATCTTACTATTTATCGCTTTTGTATTCTTGCGTCACTATTTTTGTATTGTCCTTTCTATTCTTCTATTTGTTTTGTTCCAGGCATCCACTTTCGACACTGCACACTTCTATAGAGCACGCATTGAGCTTATTGGATGCTGACGAGAGCTTATCGAAGGATTATGAGGATCCTGGATCGAACACAACTATGGGATAAGTTATTTATTCTGTTCTCTTATGTTTTTATGCTTTATTGCTTCTATTTTCCTCATGTTCTTATGTTCTTTATTCATCTGTCGTGCTTTGACGGGGGAAATGGAACTGTATTATAGAACCCAACAAGTCATAGACTTGGTACTTTGGACTAAACAAGGCGTAGAGGAAATGCGCAGCTGTAATCAAATTCCGGATTCTTCGGGACTTTTTCTGAACTTGCAGTTTTTAAAGGTGCTTTTTGTTTGTTTTGCGAACAATCAGAGCGAAAAAGAACAACGAAATCATATAATTGCCAATTTCAGCCATGATTGGTTCATTATAAGTGCCGAACTGCAACCTGGAGTACTATTTTTATTTTAGTTTCGACGTACTTAAGTGCGGAACACTTTCTTCCATGCTTGTCGACAGACAAACTCAGTATGATAATTTTAGCGAACTTTATGCAGTCACAGCAGCTATGCCATCCCTCTACGCCTTGTTTCGTCTAGCGAACCAAGTCGATGCCCAATTCGTTTCTATAATACAGTTGTTTTCAGATGTCCTTCCCGCGCTACTCAATTGGGATTTTCCTCAGATTTTTTATTTGCATTACTGCATCGTTGTAGAGCTCATTCACTCCATTCTGTCAGTTTTCCGGTTTCGCCGATATTGAGGCGCTACCAAAGGTTCAAAAACAAAGTTCAGTCCATAGTGCAGTTGTGTAATTAGGTCGCGCTTTGTGAGGAGTTTCTTGCAACATAGTATTGTTCTGTGAAATATATTTGTGAATAGCCGAACATGGATTCTTATGAATAAATCTTTCAAAAGCTCAGAAAGTTAGTGAAGAGTTGTTAAATGAAATCAGTTGGCGTGAAAACCCTATTACAACTCTTACAGAGTCTAAAAACATTGACGGGTCTTCGAAACAGGTCAAAGGGGACTTCGTACGAAATTTTCAAGTTCAAAGGGGACTTCGTTCTGAAATTTCCCTGGTGCCAGCTCGTGCCGAGCCCTGGGACGGGTCGAGCATTCGCATAAAAAAACCCTTGGCTGACAACACTTGAGCTCGTTGCTTGGCAGGCATAGGGACATTCGGCACAAGAAGACTTCAATACCAAGTGTAAAATTCTTTCGTATGACAGAAATCTCGGCAGGAAAGCAATGGAAGCATTCTAGCTTACTACCAAGAACCCAGGGATTGATGATGAGAACGGTTTTTGTCAATAACTTCCAACTTCCTCCCTTCGTATCGTTATGTGGTCTACAGGGTGTCCCAAAAAGATGTGCAAGTTGCTTGATCGTTAATAACTCTCCTGCTTTTATGTCTTTTGCCGAGCTTAAGATGCCATTCTGTAGACCGAGTTCAACTTAGATTTGCTGCATGGAGCGAATGACCGATCCTTTTTCATTACTGTAAGTTTACGGTAGGAATTTCGAGGAGGATTTCAGATCATTGAAAGCGGTATTTTGCGGGTAATTTAACTCTTGAATGAGCTAATCGAAGACGCTGAGTCCAAACATGAAATCTGCACTTTAGCATAGCGCTTCTTTCATAAGTTATTTCAGATAGGGTAACAACTGTTTTTCCAATGTTCATCAGAAATGTGAATACGCCATCAAGAAAGCTCGAAAAATTCATGAAGAGTCATGTAGTGAAATCAGCACGCCTGAGAACCTTTCCATACAAATTTTTAGATTTCTTTGAAATTATTCAATCAAAAGGCCTATTTTACAGTGACGCTGTATGCTGGAAGTTCATACTGTAATCTACAGTAATGAAGAGTGATCGGTGATTCGCTCTACACAGCAAATCTAAGTTGAACCTCAGTCTACAGAATGGCACAAGCTCGGCAAAAGACATGAAAGCAGGGGAGTTATTAACGATCAAACAGTGTGCACATCTTTTTGGGACACCTTGTATAATAATAGACATCTCGGTGTATCTACAGTCTGATTCAACTACCGCGACTGCCTATTTTCAGGGCAAAACTATTCGAGTAGCAGTTTCTTTCGGTATATGCTTCAACTTTGACATTCTATTTGGTAAGAGAGCGTGAGAAGGCCTAGAACTAGCAGAGGAGGAGACGCTTGATGGTTTGCGATAACGGTTAACACTTTGAAGTGACTCTGAGGAAGACAAAAGTTGAAAAGTAAGCCGCGATTGAAAAGAAATAAGAACCGCTTCTCAAACCTATACCTCGCAGTAGAAAATTGACATACGACATACAACAACAACAGCAACATATGCCAAGGTCTCTCGAAAACAAAACTTGGAAGAGGCAAGACGCATTTTCGTAGTTTGTACACCCCCTGTGTCGCGGCTCGCATCGACCGCTGCTCCTAACGTTTGGCCGGGAGCACCGTGATGCCGCGAAGTTCGGTCGTGAGCACGGTCCGGCGCTCTATTGTCTGCTACCCTGTTCGCCGCCGAAGCACTACGCAAGCACGCCTTGAGCCTCGGCCAAAATTGCGCGTGCGCGCACCTTGTGGCCTCTTCCTTACTCTTACTTCGCTCGTGTAGCTCGTATTATTGATCGGTTGACTTTGTGTTTATCGGAGTAGTTCCTGCGTCCCCGCACCTTGCGCGAATGTATGGACATGACTATGGAATGGTTAATAAGGGTGGAACTTCAGAGCGTTGAACGTCCGGGAGCGCATGGAAGCGCAGGACATGTGATGGAGTTGGGTTTGAAGTTGTTAGTCAGCACCTGCGGGCTCAGTGTCAGCCGCGCCGTCGCTACTGCTCAGATAATCGCCGGGGGCAGGCGGTCCGCAAACTCGCGCTTCTCTGCAAGCGGTCAGCAGAATTTAGGGGCGTGGCCAAACCTTCAGCGAGCGGTACTTCCTTTACTGTATAATGTTCTGCCAGCGGGCAGCAACACAGAATTTTCTGCAAGCGCTCGTCAATTTCAAGCAGTTTCGCGCGTACGCCGAGCAAAGGTGAGACTCTACATGGCAGAGGTGTCATCGATGGTTTAATTACTCAAGTTTGAGGTACTTTCTCTCAGCGGAAAGTACTTGGAGGCTGCGCGGTCCTACACAAAGGACCGTGCGGCCCCCGAAAATTTTGCATATTCTCGCGGAAAATCCGCGAGAATGCGGCCACTGTGCCGCAGCCAATCTATAAGAAAACCGCGATTGTTCTCCAAGCATTCATCCAAAATTTCGCTAAAATTCTCATAAATATCTGCAAGCGGACCGCCTGCCCCCGGCGATTATCAGTAGGTGGCATGTGCGGCCAACCTGTGGTTATGCGCCTTGGAAGCTGGGAGAGTATGAGGGTGTGTTAGGAAAGAGAGTGTGAGCGAATCAGAGTCCCATCGAGAGCTCGAAGTTGAGCTTCCAGAACGTTGAGCTTGAACTCTCCCCGTGGTATGTTGTTTTATTTTCTGTTTTTCTGTTTAATAAAATTGTATGAATATCCATGTTTCTCTTCTGAGTAGACGTAACTTGTCGTTGTGGTTTAGGCTCCGTCCACAATAGCGGAATTCCTTTGGGGTGGAGGGACGCATGGGCCAGCGAGTTGCAACATCTTGGCTTATGCTTAACCTCAGTTCAGCTTCATGTTTGCAAAAAAAATGGCAAATTTGACGACAAATATTTCCACAGCATTTGTTTACTTTTGCAAGCATCTTCCCCTTGAAGACGCAAAGCTCAAAAGTTGAGAAAGGTTAGAACCGAGGCGTTCTCACTTCCTAAAGTTTTTTTTCCATAATCAGTATGCGCTTACAACGACTTCAAGCCCGTAGCCAAAGTTTTTTAGGATAAAGAGTAGCTCCAACATCCGCTCCGCTAGAAAGTGGCCCGTAGTAAAGCTCGGTCACGGGAGATGATCTCCCCTGAGGCTCTCATATGAAGCTTCGTCGGGTGAGAGATGAGGACTGCTCACTTTTCCGTGGTGTAAGTATGCAAGCTCACCCTACAGGTGAACTTTAGATGAAGCCCGGCAGGGAGATCAGCTCCCGACCGAGTCATCGGAGATGAGCCGGGCGATGACATAAGGTAAATACTGTGCTAAAGAGGAGAGCACAGAGAAAAGTCCCGTAAGTTGCTCCCGAGTAACTTACGAAACACCGTAGCTGACGTTGTTTTGCGGTGCAAAACTCCCAAAACTGCACAATTTCCGGCGCTTAAGTGAGTGAGGATCGATGAACAGCTGATTGCGCGACGAAATTGGTAAAAAAAAAGGTTTTTTGCTTTTTTATTGCAGTTGTTGCTTGTTTTTCTTGAAAAAACCGCTTTAGATAACAAGAGGGTGAATATACTTTCCTACTCGTTCTTCGCCAAGTGTAGTATTTCCTGGTATGAATTCCAAAATACTTCGTATTTGTTTTATCCCGTTGTTCGCTAAGTGAAATCTCTGATAGCGGCTATCATCGATTTTTTTCGACAGCGGCCGCTATCAAACATCGCTCGGCTAAGTAGCAAAAATCGTGCTGGTAGCCGCACTCGAACCACGGCTCTGCCGCTGGAAACGCAATAGTCTTATCCACTTGACCAATAATGCACAAATTGCATAAACGTTCCACCTTTGAAAACGTGAACGTCCAATAAGTGATCTGCACCAAATCAATCGCTCCTCTGGCAGTGTGCTGAGGCGCGATGAGGTCACCTCCGGTCCTCCTCAAGAGAGATGCCCTGATGGGGGGTTCACTACGGGCCAGTGTTTTTCAAAGTTGGTCCGCCTCTGTTCAATAACAAAATTTTTTAATGAGCACAAATGCATATAGATGCACACCTAGTAGGAATGCAAAACAAACACTCTGCTTCATACATGTAAGGTTCACTATCTTTAGATGGACATCACCATTGCGGAAGTCAACGCCAAAGCTATACGGATGGCTAGGGAGTGGTTTGGGCTGAAAGTCGATAAAAATCAACGTGTTATTCTTATGGACGGAGCAGATTACGTACGGGATGCTGCTATGGAAGGTACACAGTTGAGGGCTTGAATTGTTAGTTAACTTGACAGTGGCAAAGATAAAAGGTTTAGTGCCGAATCAAGGCGGTAGACTCACAGATGCGAACGCAGTTCTGTTACCCGTTACTAGTGTTGTATTTGCCATGGCGTGTGTAGGAAGAACGATTTGAGACCGAGTTCTTTACTTGACGACAAGGAACTAAGAATGATCTATACTTACTAAGAAATGTCTATATATAGTCACAGGACTATATCATATATGATAAACAACAGATCAACATATTTCATTCTTCTCAATCGCTGGTTCATTCTCCTCAATCGCTGGTTTCGTGTGCGGCTGCACAACACCTCCCCTTCTAAGTGAAATGGTGGGTCCTTTCCGCGCTGAGGACTGAGCTGATACTTCATCTTCTCACGTCGCACACTATGCTTCTCGTCAGCCGAGCACAGTGGACCTGTAGCGATGTGAACTTCGTATTCAATGAACATCTCACCAAAGGAGCAGTCATCCAAAGTTGGGCCTGATATATTGCGACAGTGCATGGGAAACTTTTGCATTGCCTCGGCTAACGTCTCCTCTCTTTTCGGCTTGGATACTAGGCACTGGAAATTGCGACGATTCTCTCGGCCTGTTCATTGAACTGCTGATGGAGAGTGAGTCGAACTTGTCTGGCTTTTCCGGAATCGCGGATTTCGGCTGTTCTGAATTGAGTAATATCATAAGAAACAGGTACCTCGGCACTTCCAAATTGACTGGATTTTGAACGGGTTTTGCCGAATATCTTGCTCTCATCCTCTTTTTCGAGCACAAAGACAGCCGTTGCTTTCGTACCGTCTTCTGTTTTAGGTTGAAACACTTCTGCGAACTGTGTTGTCAGGTGAGTTTGCTTCTTGTCAAGTGTATCGTTCGTAGCGGTCACTGCATTCAAATTTTGACGGCCGATATCACTGTGAAAGGCACAGTCGCTCTGGTTCCAATGCACTTCAAGTAGAGCTGGTGCATCAAGTACATTTGTGGTACCATTCAAGGCGATGCCATTTAGCGCATGCTCACATGTGCCGTGTCCATGGCATGTAATGCTGGTCCCATTAGCAGCAGTCGAATTATGTTTCGGGTTCTTTAGTTTGTGTCGGCCAGTCTTAATCCATGTGTCGCGATCTTCAGCTCCACAGTCAAGTCGTAACTCGATACTTGTGTTGTTGGCTTTCACATTGCAGTACGACTTCGTTTCTTTAGGTGGTGAGATGACGACAGGATGGACGTCCTTGGCTTCATCGACAAATAGTTTACGTAGACAGTACCTCTCTAGATGTCCACGCTTCTTGCAGTAGTTGCATTCAGTGATCGGCTTCTCGCACTTCCTGGTCCTATGGGTCTTCGCTCCGCAGTTCATACAAAGATGTGCTCTGGGCTTGTGACTGCTGAATGGCTCCCGCTTCTCGTCTCGCTGCATCGCGTTGACTTGCGGGTTCTCATTCATCTGATTCACGCTGACCTGAGGAACCTTGGCTTTGTCGATCATCTGTATGTGATTCTGCAGTTCCAGGTAGTCTTTGTACTCTTCGTTGGATTCTTGCTTCGTCAGTTCAGCCATGGGTTCTCGACAAGACTTCCACAAGTCCATGATTTGCTTCATTAGAAAGTGGATCGTGTCCGTGTTCGGGCTCGGGTTGGGATTCTGATCGAATTCTGGTAGACGAGTAGCGAGTGCATTCATCACGTAATCCTCGCTGGATCCTTGTTTCTTCTTTACTTCGTTCCGTAGCTCCATGATTTGCAGCATCAGAAGGTGGGTTTGGTCCATGTTGAGGGCCGGGTTTGAGCTCGGGTTCGGGTTCTGATCGCCAGTTGTTGTATTTGCCATGGCGTGTGTAGGAAGAACGATTTGAGACCGAGTTCTTTACTTGACGACAAGGAACTAAGAATGAACTATACTTACTAAGAAATGTCTATATATAGTCACAGGACTATATCATATATGATAAACAACAGATTAACATATTTCATTCTTCTCAATCGCTGGTTCATTCTCCTCAATCGCTGGTTTCGTGTGCGGCTGCACAACAACTAGTGTTGCTGGTAACCTTCAGGAACTGGACACTGGCATGGAACATAGGAGGTTCTAAGTTGTCGAAAATATGGACTAATCTTTTATCTAAGGCGCATCATGAGCTCTATTGCGGAAAATCCATAAATTCATAAAGATCACGTGAGACGCATCTGCTGATTCTAAAACAAAATTTGAGAACAAGCTTGAGGTGACAGTAGCGAAATTGTCCCAACACAACAAAGTAAGAACGAGAATTTTGGAGGTTTTTGAGCTGCTGCCTCTGCATACGTGAGTCAAAGTATGTGATCGTTACACAATATCATAAGATTCAATTCTTCATGTAAAGGAACTGCATAATCACACGTACGAAAGTTCTTGTCCACAGTTTTTGTGCGTCACCTCGAATTTATTGATTACATGAAGATGGGGTCTTAAAATTACACCACAGCTTTCCTCTCCTTCGCTTTTGATATAAATCAACAAGACAAGGAAAATGTAACGTCAGGCCGTGTGCAAATTTTGAGTTGTTAGGAAAGTGATGTCGCATGCTTAGCCATGATGAAAACCGCGGCATGATTAACATGATTTTTCTTCTTATGATTAAAAGTGAAAGGATCCAGAGGATCCTTTCGAGAAGAGGTTTTAACGAAGCCAGCCAATTCCGCAACTACTCAAGCGATTTCTCGCAAGAAAAAGTGATGAACGTCTACCGTAGAATTCTTCCAAAGTACGCATAGCTCCACTATCAAGAATGCCTTATGAAGAATATCACGACTTTTGTATTGTAACGAACCGTCGAGAATGATTAAATGGAATAAATTAGAATGGAATAAAAGTGAAAGGGACACTGTTTGATAGAGTAAAGCAAGCTCTACAAGATGAAACTCAAATATTTCCAGCTAGCTTTATTCACGTGTAGTTCGACGTAAAATTTCAATGGGTGCCAGTGCCTAACAATTCTAGGAAAATCGTATCTGAAAAATTACAGGGACCCCTGCTTGCTCACGGACATGCTCTCCATGTCAGACACTTACGCACGGTTCCGTGGTTTTCCCCCATGGCTGAAAACTGAGAAAACAAGATTTGGCATGTCTTTGCTAAACCTATCCTGTGCTTATTCCATATAGGCGAATCCGTAGAAGCCTTCGGAATATAACTAAGAATTTTTCACATTTTACAAGAGCTAGTCTTCGAGAGTCATCAAAATTCTCAGACAATCGGTGCCGTAGTCGCGCCGGACAGTCGAAATCTGGCAGAACCGCGGCAGACCCAATTGACCATTGAGAGCGGGGTGAGGGGGAGGTCCCTTCTTGTACTCAGACAATCGACCGGACCCCTCCGCCGGACAGTCGGAATCTGCCAGAGTCGCGCCGGACCCACTTGACCAATGAGAACGGGGCAAATGGGCGGTCCCTTCTTGTAGGTCGCGGTGACATCACTGGCAGGCAAATGGGACGCTTCTCCGGCCCTGCTGCAAAGGTACGCCATTTCTGCTCCGGAGGTACGCCAGATTTGGCAGAGCCGCGCCGGAGAAATTTGCCCGGCGCGAGTCCGCCAGATTTGGAAGAGCCGCGCCGCAGAAAATCGGAGGGGTCCGGAGTACAAATGGGAGGTCTCCGGAGCAGAAAATGGGAGGTATCCGGAGCAGAAAATGGGAGGTATCCGGAGCAGAAAATGGGAGGGCTCCGGAGCAGAAATGGGAGGTCTCCGGAGCAGAAATGGGAGGGCCCCGGAGCACAAATGGGAGGACTCCGGAGCAGAAAATGGGAGGTATCCGGAGCAGAAATGGGAGGGCTCCGGCGGACGAGTGGCAGACCCACCGCTGGGGAAACCCGTTTTGCCATTTCTCCGGCGGAGGGGTCCTATCCGCTGTCTGAGTAGGTCACAATGACAATATTACTTCTTCGGCCATCCCCGGCTGATTCTCACCGTATAGGCGTGCAATCAATTGTTGGTTGTGGTCCGGCAGACATACTGCGCACATGACGCCTAATTGCAGTGTGTGGCGTCGCTATGTGAAAACGGTTTTTTTGTGTTTTCAGTGCAAGCCGAGCGATGACCGTGTTGATAACGTGTATATGTTTCCAAGTAGTCGAAGCCTGCTCGTCACTTCGATTCCGCATAGAAGAGGGCCGACAACAGCTTAACAACTCATTGTCGCAGAACTGCTAAAACTGGACGCGGAAACTGAAGCTGTGTACAAAATTCCTACCAACCGTTATATCAAAAGTACTGAATATGCATGCTCACCTTATGAGCAAGAATATTGTTCACGCGTGTATATGGCATCCACAGCTTCCTCAACTATTTTTTGCTTGCTTCAGATATTTTCGTTTCGGCATCTCTTTCTCACAAGCTATTAAGGTCTACCGCTTTACCTCGCAACGGGTGATCCGCAGTGATGTGCAGTCCATGCGATCAACGAACTGTCTATACAAGATGAACCTCGCTATCCTTGTGGTGAAGCAAATGCTTGTTCGGTATAACCCTTTACAACTCTTGATGGAATAGTTTGGCAGTAATTGCAACTCTGCTGGTGCAATAATACTCCATTATGTGTTCATAAGCACCCTCTATTTGCGCTGCAGCACTGTCTCTTCTCTTAATAGTGAATCGCGACCGAAAACATGTACTTCTAGGATTCACTACGCATAATCACAATAACCTAGTCCAAAATTTACGCTTACTTGAATCTGTCTACAAAAATAGTGGAACGTCTCTAGCAAATAGGACAAACTGTTCATGAAACTGTAGAATAATTTCATAAAATCCTCGTTAATGTTTGAGAAACAGAGGTTATGACATCTGCAGAAATGTAAGACCAAATCGTATGAAATACTGACAAAATGATCAATTGTAGAGGTAAATAACACTTCCCACGCTGATTACAAGTTGAAGTTTAGTTGAGTCACTCAAAAGGGCTTCTATATCTTTCACCACGCCTTTAGGTCCTGTATTTGGTCCATACTTCTCCACAGCTTTTCCGTCTTTATCAACCAAGAATTTAGTGAAATTTCACTAGATTGCATCAATGAGCGTGCCCCTATAAGCTAAAACTCAATTTTTGTACGACAGTCTTTGGGAAAAAGAGAAAGTATGATACTCAAAGATTGCCGTCCCCAAATAAAATCCCAAGAAAAATAAACATATACACGTTATCAACACGGTCATCGCTCGGCTTTGCACTGAGATTACAAAAAAAACCCAAAGTTTCCACATAGCGACGCCACTCACGTGCAATTAGGCGTCATGTGTGCAGTACCTGCCGGACCACAACCAACAATCAATTGCACGCCTAAGGTACGGTGAGAATCAGCCGGGGATGGCTGAAGAAGTAACATTGTCTTATTGGCAACTTTCAAGAGTTCCTTTTGAAATGATCAGGACTGCTACAGAGGCAGAGCGGTCGTGAACTGTGTCTCGAGGAGCTTGTAATTATAGCGATTTGCACACTGCTCTGCACCGCTGTCTGTGTAACTAACTTGCGCTTGCCAAAACATGGGTAGTCAGTTTTTGATTTACAAATCTAGAGCAAAACTATCCTAATCCTTTCCTAATCTATCAGCCTTTTTCTAGGCCGGCAATTTGACATTATATTCCTCGACGCCTGTTTGATACAGAAGGAAGACGATAGCATATGCCCAATCAGAAGTTTCCAGCGCCATGCTGTTATACAGCACTTAGCAGAACTGGTCGGTAAAAAAGGTGGGCGGCTGCATAGGGAACGGCCATAGGTTGTCGGTGTTGTCGATGTTGTCGGTGTTGTCGGGAGTCAGAGACAGTTTAGAGAGCGCGCGAAACGTGGAGGCTATCATGAGGTCCTACAACGACCGCCTCGGTAACCCCGACAACACCGACAACCTATGGCCGTTCCCATATACTAGGCTGTTGCATAAGTTCTGTCCGATTTTTTTGCCTCATGTTTGAAGCAGCTGTTCTAAGAGAATTTCATCTCTAATTCGATAAGGTTGGTATCATTGAAAAGTGCTTTCCTTGCGCTTTCTAAAGCATACCAGAATTCAATAAAATTCTTAGTGTACGGAGATCACAGGCCTAAAATCTCTAAGTGGCCGAGGTACGTTCTACTCCTAGAAATATGTCCTTGCGAGGATATCTCCACAATGCGCCCTTCAAGTCAGGTTCTTTCATTGGCTTCGGAATAAGGGTATGGAATGCTAGTATATGCAGAAGTTCGGTCCCATGAAGAATACGTCTTGCTAGTGAAATTTATCCTCGAACATAAATCTTTGGTATAGATGTTTTACAAGCAATAACTTTCTGCGAATAGAAGTAATCGACAAGCTCAAAGTTGGAGGTGCTAGGGCAAAGCAAGAGCTAACAGGGCCCATCCACCAATTCCTTTTCGGCGCTCACGTCGTCGTAAAACGTTCGTAGTTCATAAATAGGCATGCACACATGTGCTGAAGCGAGGTCAAAAAGTGGCTAATTTTTTGTTCGGTCAAGAAAATCTCTCGGCAGCGCAAACCCTATGGGCTCTTTTATGTTGCATAATAATCTACGAAAATTTCTCTATCCATCCATTATTAGAAAAGATGCCTATCAATTTTCATAAGGGAGCGTTACCATGTCAAAAAAGACAGATTCGAAGAAAAACGCTGCGAAGTTTTTGCATTCTTGGTTCTTCCTTAACAAAGATTTGCGCAGATCTCAATATGCATTTTTTAGCCAAGGGACTGCTCAACACATAGAAACTAAGACCTTGGAAAAAAGTTGACTCTGAAAGAAGTCATGACATTTTAAACTCAAAAATTCAAATCGGACAGAACTTATGCAACAGCCTAGTACAAAAAGCGCTTTTTTGGCGTTGACTTTCCCTCTGGGTTTCTTCCAATTACATAGTTCAGGCATCGTATTTGTCAATGTTGTATCTCGCTCTTCCACTAAGGTACTAAAGGAAATGGTGAGAGCTTGAACATAATCGAGTTAGAATTGAAAATATGGTTCCTTCTTAAAATCGTGACGATGAGTTGACTGCGGACTTTGCGCACACAGGAGCATAAAACACCCATACAAACAGGCATCAACTTAACGTTCAGCACAGTGACTTCCAATGTCTAAGTACTAACAAATGTTAGCAGGAAAACCACCCTAGTAGAGATAGAAACCAAGAAATGGAAGTGCGTGCATATCGCGCGCGGTCGCGCCATCGTCACGATTTTTCGAATGCCCTCTAGCTTCTATGTAAATTCAAGTGTAGCAGAAATTATTCGCCCAAGTAATATATATTGATCATCTATTAGCGCTAAATTAAATTAATTAATTAATCTAAATTTTAGATTAGCGCTAAATATGATCAACACTTCAAGTATAGAAAGCAAACCAGAGTCGAAGGAACAGGCAATTACGTAAGTTTAAAAGCTTATTCAATCGCTTTTAATATGCTTTATAGATATTGAGCTATTCCCAATACAAGTATGAAGGTCTTGCCAGTAGTTCAGCATTTGAGATGAAAGATGTCTAATTCTTGTTCCAAACAAAACCAATGAATTTATTACTTGTAGCAGCACGAACGCGGTTATACCAGCAATAAAGGTTTAATTGTTAGCATTTGTCGTTATCTTTCGTTTGAGTGTTTGTTTCTATTGTTTTCAAAACGATAGCAATGTAAAATTGTACTAAAGAGTATTTGAAGCTTAAAGGCAGCGTCCCGGCAAATCTGGATGGGGTCTCACGTGGATAGTAATTTTGGGGCCCTAACTAAGCCACTGCCCAACCGGCAGCTCAGGAAGTGCTCTAACGGCTGAGATATCTCCCTCGAAACTGGACCCCAGGATCGTATTCGCACGGATTCATGGCATTTCGTGGGTCCTTGCGCGAAAACGAAGGGTTGCGCAATGAATCCATGCGAAATACGATTCTGGGGTTTAGATTCGAGGGTATATCTCAGCCGTTAGTGAGTCACCTGCGCTGCCGCTTGGGCTGCCTTAGTTAGGCACCCAAAATTACATTCCACGTAAAATCCCCATAGGTCCAGATTTGCCTGGACGCTGCCTTTAACATGGTATGGCTACCTAGTTTTATCTCTTTCATATGGTCAACATTTTCAACAGGCTCAGAATGGGATTGACCGATTTGACCAAACCCCTACAAATTGCCATACTGTCAACCCCTGGGGCTTACCATTTTCTTTCCTCGACGTTTCAATGGGAGTTGCTATAGGCCGTCCGCGCAGGGCGCGGAGAGTGCGCAGGATGTGCATTGCGCGTCACTCCTCTTTCCTCGTGCACTCTCGCCGCCTGTTTTTCTCTGCGCTTCTTCCAGTCGTGAACTGCCTTCAATGTACGCAACAGCGTTGCTCTCCGTGCGCAGCGCGGACGGCCTATACAGGATTACTCCTAAAAGAAGCGATTAGGTCAAGAGAGCGTCAAGTCATCTTGTTCGCTTGCTCCGGCAACTACGACCAAATGACTTCGTACCAAATGGCTTTCTTAACTTGACCTGATAGCCGTAAGACTCAAAATTGAAACTTTATTGATAGAACTGTACCCCCTCAACGAGCTTTTGCATACATGCCACAAGTTCTTTTGGAAACTCTATTTTGAAACTTACAAACCACTGATATCTGCATTCGGTAGTGTTTTCATGTATCTCAAAATACACCAAGGCCCTGATTGACATGAAGAAAATAAATTACGACCATAAGAGGGGAATGGAAGAGCGAGTAATTGAGCAAGCGTCCGGGTATGATTCGGATTGCGAAGAAACAATGCGGTTGATCAATATCTATGCTTTTCACTCATCCTAAGCACTAAACTTTGTCCCATGTTTTAAAACGGCTAAGAATGGATACAAGCAGAAATTCAAAAAGAACTGAATATCGCTCAGACTGCGTTTAGTCTTACTCATGCTAGGGCGGTCAAGGGGCAGTGCTAAAGTCCTGTGGGACGTTCAGTGTCGATCAATACGGAACGCTGGATTCCAGCACGGAGTTAGCACGGCGCTGGAACGGTCTCTGAATGCTGCATAACTGATTTACCCTATAAGAACAACCGACAGATAATATTCGAATTGCTAAATCACAGAAGGGCTACTGTGTATAGTGTGGACCCCGGCCAGCTTCCCATAAGTACCTGCGCGACGCACCCGCAACGCACGCCTTCAGTGCGTCTCGTGTCCTAGCTTCTGATGGAAATCCTCCTTTCTCTCTCTTTTTTTGTTTTTGGTGTACTATATTCTCTCTATTTTAGGTATAAACAATTCGCGATGACCGGTGACGAGATTATACGTGCTCTAATAGTTCTAGGAGCTTCAGTCTTGTGTAGTAGTCTTGTGTTTTCCCTTTTTTCTCTGAAAAATTGAGATTTGATTGGATATTGAAAATATTTTTCCAAAGGCTTCTTGTATAAAATAAGAGTTCCTTTCGGTTTGATGTGTAAGGTGTAGACAGTGTTTCAAGTCAAAATTGAGCCTTTCGAGAAGCCAATAGGCATTCGTTTACTGAAATATCCACTTTTTTGGACTCTTTGACCCCTCTAGTTTCTACGTCTACGAAGAGAAATGTTTTAGGATGCTTTGTTCTTTAATTTTTCTACGTATAGTTATTACAACCTATCCATCAGTGCAAGTTCGGAATATGCATCCATTGATTGAATTTGAGGTATTCATGGAACTTGCCTGCGTTTCATTCTTGCATACGTTTCTTTCGAAGGGAACCTAGAGGTTTCCACTTTACATTTTTTCCTTTGTGAGTATAAATATGCTCTACTGCTCATGAGTGAGGCGAGAGGCATTGAGAAGGGCGCGCGCTGCGTGGGCGCTGCGGATGTAAAGGCTACTGCATGACGAAGGCGCAGAAGCAGTATAGTTGTGCGGGCGCGAACGCGACGCGCGCGTATCATCACCGTTGTAGATCCTGTGCCTCATGCGCTCTGAGGCTAATAAAGCGCGTTCGCGCCCAAACATATTGTGCCTTCGTCATGCAGCAGCCTATGGGAACCTGGCCGGGGTCCACATTATAAGAAACTTGTCCTTTTTCTCCCTCCCCCCTCTCTTTCTTGTGAGCCTACAAAAATAAGCTATGAATATAGTCCTCTCCAAGACTAGTTAAAGTCTGGATACTACTATTTGACTAGAAATTGATTTGAGTGCTCTATACTGCTCTTTTGTATCATCATACCTCCCCTCCCCCCGCCACTTTTTTGACTTAGATTTACCATATTTGATATTTGATGGTATTACTCACATAGGTATTATCTATACAGAAATGCAAACAAATGCTAATGCGGCCTTTGAGCCACAATTTGGCTTAACACAAGTCTTTTTTATGAAAGACAATGCAGGTCGCTAGTTACCTTTATCGAATTATCAATTTTTGTAAAGTTTGAGCTACGGGACTGAGAGTTGGCACAGGGGGTAAGTGAGCATGCTAGTTACGAATACAGTTTTAGTTTACAAAAATAACACTTAACTTTATCAATTTTATCGACTTTTTAGAAAGTCAAGAACTGCCATGTGTGGGACAGGGACAGGGTAATGTTACATAGCGATGAACTATTAGTGTATTGGCAAGGACCGGTATGTATGCCAGCTAGTGGATAATGGAATGCTTTGCAGAGGTCATCTTGAAAAGTCATGCTCTTGTAGAAAGTAATTTCCTTCTCAAAGTCACCAGTAGGCAGACTTCGCGCTGTATACACCTACCATTTGTATTGGTAATCAAATAAGAATTCTAAGGAAAAACAAAAAATTATTTATTCTTACAATTATGTACAACAAGGATGAAAAGAAAGGAGATATAGGGAAATGAAAGCTACCTGGAGAGCATCATCTACAGATGGTTACTAGAAACTTGCACAGAACTGATTGTGAAACCTAGTTGGGTTGTTCTAACGTTAACCAGTAATAAGAAGGCAATCATTATTCACAAAATTATGCCCAAATTTCAATGGCAAACAGGTATAAAAGAGGTTGAGTTTAAGAGCGATACAAGCAAGAAGTTCGACTTTGGAATATGTTTCAAATTGTCGCATTATCACACGCTAAACATTAAGGTAAATGTGAATATTACTATACTACGCTAGCATGATAACTGTACCAGAGTGAATCAAGGCAATCCTGAGGAGACTTATCATGAGGACGACTTGTCCGGTCATAACAATCAGTAAGATCGCGCGATAAGCATGTTTCGGGTGGGTGGCTTCAAGAATGCATCGCTAGTGTACTCCTCGAAAGGGTTGTCGTCGCCAGATTCAGGCGATCCAGAACGAGGAGATCCAGAGTGCGAGAATGATGTGCGGGGTGAGCCACCTGAAGAAAATTCGTTAAGTTTAGCCGGGTATAAGAACGAGCTAGAATCTCTGTGAGCATTACGGGTGCAAGCACCCAATTTAGGGCACCGTCCACCCAAACTGAGGTTCTTGAGATTTTACTACGCTACTATAGAAGTGCCTCTTAATATCGACCTCTCACTGCAAATAGTGAAGCCAAATGCAAGGAAATCGCTTTGAAATGTAGAAGCGGCGGTGGCTCGCTCCGCCCACTAACGCACTGATCGGAAGATACAAATCCATGACTAGGCTCAATGTATTATTGCGGCGAGTATAAACCATGTAGAGTTCACAAATCTTCGCCAGTTTTTATGGGATGATTTCCGCAATGCTCACCTGCGCTTCTCGCACCGTCTCCATCTGATAGCTTCTTTCTTCTCGTGCTGCTATTCGATCCAATCGAGAAGGAGTTAGATGCCCGTCGAATTCGACGAACTTCCGTATAAAAGCCATCACGTACAGAGGAGAACACCTGTAAGAGAATTTTTCAATTTTTTCAAACATTTCAAAACTAAATCTGGGGTAATCATCGGATTCATTTTCTGAGCTTCATTAACTTTTTCGATGCTCGTGGATATAAATATCTTAACTTTCAGAATTTCATAATCAATCAGCTCTCTAAACCTTCGACGTAACCGTCGGACCTGCTATTTCATACAATCTAGCAACTTTTCCCCTTTCTCTGCTTAAAGGCAGTGTCCGGGCAAAATGGGGGTTCTGAGATTTCTCTGCCATGTGAAAGTAGCCCCCCTGAGACACAACATCGCGCAACTGCAAGCATAAAACATTCGACCTAAAGCAAGAAAAACGATTGCAAATTGGGGAAACTTACGCCTTGGGGCGGGGTCCTCCGAGTTGTTTGAATTCCTGCCAGACGGCGGAGTACGTATGCCGCCACAGTTAAAAACCGTGCGCTCTTTGCAACCTCTGCGTCTTAGCCTGGCGGGGATCCCCAAATTTCGAAATGTGAGGACTTGGAAAATGCATGTTCTCGCCGTTTTCGCGCCTTCTGATGTGGATTTTCGGATTCAGCGTTGCGGATAACCCCAGATAAGTTGATTTTTTAGAAGTCGAGTTTCTGCCCGGACACTGCCTTTAACTGCGAGTAATTTCACTTCTTAAGACGGATTTTGCACAATGTGCAGCATAAATGCCACCTCAAAATTTTTTTTTCTTTTCTCACATACGGCAAGTGTTTATGAATAATTCCATACCTCTAACGTCAGAGCTCGGTTATTCTTAGTTAAGACTTTCACACGCATGAATTAGATGAATGCTAATTTGTGATTTCAAATTTGTGGCTCTGCAAAATTCTAAGGAAATTCACATGGGAAAAGAAAGTTATTAGTAGATTTTCCTAGGTGAAGTTGCTGCAAAATAATAAAATTGATGAATTTGGGAACATCTGCATGTAATAAGCAAAACCTAGTTTCTGTTGTGGTTATCAGTTTTTATTGCTTTATAAAGTCTATTTGTAATACAGTGAAGTGCCCTACGCTCGCCCACGGCTACTGATGTTCGTTGTCATTATATGCAATCAGTGCAGGGTTCATTTTTTCTAAATTCGTTATTATCTTCCCCTCCCCCTCTATTCCTTTTCATCATAACTGACTCACTCAGAGAAGGACAAGTTGACGAAAGACCCTTCAGCTTGTAGTGCATGGACATAACGACCACTTAAGCATCATTATTTTTGATAAATGCCAAAGCATATTGAAGCAAACGAGCAAAGTAAAGAAAAAACCATGCCAAACGCTTATGACATTAAATCAACACAGATAAAAAGTTTATCTATAACTACGACTGTTCTCTGAGCTCATTAGTATGCTGTATATCATTATCCAAATGTTTTGCAAGCGCGTAAAAAATTGACTGTCGTTACTCTGTACTAACACATGAAGGAGATACACGCTAAAATATGCCTCGCAAATTACAAGCTTTCATCGTAACGTAGCCTAACTTTCACGCTGACTACTAAGGCAGTGTCCAGATATAGCAGTGTGCCAGCTAAGTGCCAGTGCCGTGCCTTGACCCACACGGACACGCACCGTGCCGAGATTGACAGGCTTGGGCACGTGCTAGGGCCATTTTAGCACGTTTCAGCGCCGCCAGCACGGAGTTACCTTGAACGTGCTAGGGCCGTGCTAAAATGGCCCTAGCACGTTCAAGGTAACTCTGATGCAACCTAAATTTTGAATGAGATTAGGGGCCAGGGACGCGAATTTTAAGCCAGAGCGATGATTTGATCAATTATTTACAACCTCCCAATGTTGAAGATCATGGAGGGGTTCAACAGAGCAGGAAAAGGAATAGTTTACCTAACAATCCCCATCAAAGCCTATTTTCCTGTTTTTTTTGTATTTTGCTTTAACTTTCTCAGCGAAAACTACTTCCAGGGTTAATTCGTACTTGATTACATGTTTTTCCTACTTCATTCGAATCTGAAGCCCTGTAAACAGTTCACAAGTTCAATCTTTGACGTCAATATTAGCTTTCTCTGACTCAAGGAAACCAATAAAAACTGTCAACGTTGAAAGCAGGTGCAATTAAATGAGCAGGAAGTTAGAAAAAACTATCCATACACTTTCAATAATCAGGATGCTTTCATTAAAAAGAGGAAGCAGGTGCTAAAAGTTCAATTAAAATTTTTTTAAAGTTAAAAGATAGCAATGAAGTCACGCAAGCAGCGAGCAATGATTTGAAATTTGGCAGTAATTGTCTTCGAAGTCAATTTAATTCCTTATGGGTCAAAAGTGCCGGGAGTCATAGAAACAAGAAAGTGACGCAAACAATCTGGACAATCTAGCAATTGAGGCAATGAATATAATTGTATCAAAGGTACATAATTTTCGATGGACTCAAATAATCTCCTGAACCATGCTTATCCAAAAATTCATTTATAAAAATTCCCTCTTTTACGATGTAAACACGTCATTATGACAATATGAGCAGTGGGCGTCTAACTTTATCAAAGGTTAACAAATTCAGTGCGCTTATGCTCCTACTGTCTATTTTATAATTGGGAGAGCATAAAGTACCCCTTGGTCTTATTTTTAACGCAGTAAATGAGATAGATAACATAATTACGAATTTACATTTTGACTGTAACGTCAATTCTATTGAGCAACAAAGAAATTTATTTGATTTCTTATTATTCTAAGCGCACAAGTTGTTTTTACAACAAGCATCACATTGAGCAAATCGTTTTTAATTGCTGAATTTTATTTATTTTTTCAACAGCGAGTGGCATTGTTCCTGCCATGCTCACCTCTGTTTTGGAATTTTTGGAGTTATAAGCTCGCAAAAAATTGAAAAAAAAAACTCCCACAAAACTTTCTGAGACGTTCATTTGAAGAAGTTTTTGCCGATCTCCCCTCCCCCCCCCCCCCTCACAAAAATTTCTCTGACTGCCACTTCAGATGGAGATCCTTTCTGTACCAGCTTCGTGTTAGAAAAAGCAGAAAAGCTATAATACAAACAATCTGCTATTGAACTTTTGAAAGTTAACCGCATATGCTCTGATCCGACATAATCGCATACGAAATCGTCTTTCCGATGGTTCTGAGCAGCAATACAATCATAAACATCTGTTTAGCTGGAAAGCAGATTCTAAGGATAATTTAATGCTGTTCGTCAAATGCGCAGTGCATCCAAGCGAATCATCCACCTGTTCTACATTCTTTTAGTGCAATCAAGCAAATAAGGACTTGCTAGAGATGTTCTCACAGAGTGTAAGTATTCACACCATATATAGAATGGATGCAATTTGATGATGAGAATTTCTTGGTTTTGCATTACGCGTTGAGAATAGCTCTACTTATTTGCTAAGTAATTTGCAATCAAGTCCGACTTCTGATGGCTGTTCTAATAAGTCATGTAAAAGTTAAATATACATTTGTTTCGTCCGCAGACAAAAAAATATTTGTATAGATTTAGAGTTTGTGTCAATTACGTATCCTCGCGTAAACCACGCAACCGCAACGCGGGGGCTTTGCGTACGGAACTTTATTAATGTCAATTTTGAATGCTCAGCCCATACGGGCGCGAACGTCGCGCAAAGCTTTAGTGTGACGATGCTTTGAAAGAAATTTACACAAGGAATTTACACAGTTATGTTTCCATAAAAATCGATTCCGGTTTTTCAAAAAGTTCAAACATCAGAAGAAAAACCAACCAGAGCTCCAAATAGGGAGAACGCTTGCGTAGTTGTGTGTGCTTTATGTACTGCAGAATCGAGATGAGTGCATTCCTTGATGGTCGCGTCCGCCAGGATCGCAAAGTAGTCCGCGCGGAAGCCGAGCGACCGTAGCTCAACAAATCGTCGACCGAAATCTTCCGACAATCGAGTCACCTGCACAAAAGAAGAAATTCATTCCCAGAACCTTCCAAAAAATCTACGAAAATCATCCACTCACCTCATCAACGTAATCGATATTGGTGACGACCTTCTTTAGAAGAATTTTCACATTTTCTTCAAGCTCCTCCCGTAGCTCCAGTTCAAGCGATGTGTAAAATGTCGCAAACTCGTCCTTGAGATCGCATGCTCGTTTCATGATTCGCTTTCCGAGCATTTCATGAGGATTCGCGAAGCAGCTCTGAAAAAAGAGTTATTGTGCCGTTGTTTTTTTTACTGCACTGTAGTTACCAAGGGTATATAATTTACGTGAAACCAAGGCGTAACCTGAGGTGTATTTACGCGAGCGCGATTTTCATCTTACTTATGGATTGTTATCCTAGAGATAATGCGTAATGTAGATGTTTAACATAATGGGAATATAAGGGCGGTAGTGGTGGGGGGGGGGTAATGATTCAAAGAGTAGTATAGAGCACTCAGATCTATTTCTACTCAAGTTAGTAGTATCCAGACCTTAACTAGTCTTGGAGAGGACTAGATTCATAGCTTATTTTTGTGGGCTCACGAGAAAGAGGAGATAGGGGAGAGGGGGGCGGAGACAAGTTTCTTACATAGTAGCCCTTCTGTGATTTAGCAATTTGAACACTATTTGTCGGTCCTTATTGGGTAAATCAGTAATGCAGCACCTAGAGTTTTCCATGTGCCGAAGTAGTGCCAACGCGGTCCAGTGCCGTGCTAACTTCGTGCTGAAATACTTCCGTATTGATCGATTGAACGTCCTGCACGACTCTAGCAATGCCCCTTGACCCCGCTGGCACGAGTAACTCTCAACGCTACCTAAGCGATAAACAGTTCTCTTTGAATGGTCTGCTTGTATCCATTCATAAGCCGTTTAAAAAAAAGGGACAAAGTTCAGTGTTTAGGATGAGTGAAAAACATATATACTGACCAACTGCATTATTTTTATTGCAGTCCGAACCATTCCCGAGCGTTTGCTCAATTACTGGCTCTTCCACTCCCTTCTTATGGTCGAAATTTATTTTTTCATCTGACTACGTGTTATTCACGTGTGTCAACCAGGACCTTGGCGTATTTTCAGATACATGAAAACAATCTAATCCCTACCACCCTCTTAGCTGTGAGAGCCTTCGTCACGATCTACGTAAAAAAAACAACATGATTTGGTGCTATATACCGTAATCTGCATGTGCATGTGCTATGCAAAAGACATAACTTTTCTTTTGATTAATGAGTAACATTGCTCGATGATTTATTGAACGAGCTAAGCTTTCCGCCTATGCCAATAAAGTTTTTCTATGTTAATATGAGTTGCCTTTACAGAAAAATGATCGGCTAAAAATGAGAAAATCAAAAGTCTAGGGCAAATCATTTCCGCGTAAACTTACCGAGATTAATCGACGCATTTTCAGTGACAAAGGATGTTTATTGCTGTTTTTGCTGCTGGCGCTACCGTTTCTCGAACGACTTATCTCTTCGCAACCTCCTGAAAAAAATTTTGTGCTTTTTCATTATTTTTGAACATTTTGTTTTTAACTTACTGTACATTCCTTCATAGTAGCTGGCTGAACTAGGTAACTTAATTGAGGGCAAATTTTCGTGAGCACTTGATGATGAGCGTATTTTCGAACTATCGCTGCCCATTCTGCAATGAATAAATCATAGACAAAGGGATGAGCGAGCAAGCGCACGATTCGGAAAAGACAAGCAAAAATGAAATACCTAATTTTGCGCTGGAAAGAAAGCAATAGGCTGAAGAGTGAGTTCGATGAAAAGGAGATGACATCATCGTATAGATATGAAAGAAATGCAGGAAGGCTGCTAGCGAACGCATAAATAGCTATGGTAGTTTGAAGTTTGAGAAAAAATAAGGAAGTGGAGGAAGTAACGCGGAAATCGACTGAGCATTATCAGATGAGGTAGGAGATGGGCTGAGCGATCAGGAGAAGAGGACATGCAAAGCGACATTAAGCGACAATAGGTAAATCATTAACATCAAATAGCAAGGATTGTACTTTCGACTTGACTCAAGCCAAAGGTCATTGAACAATGACTATAGTGGGAGGATTTCAACAAGCACATCAGCAGATGATAAAGTCCACGAGGCTTGTGAAAAACATTTCAAGAGGTCAGACAGATGTTGTCAGAGTAGTCATAAATGGCAGCGAATGTTAGCTTGGCGGTCATTTTCTGTCACACCCTCACCTTTTATTAGCGATAAAAGGTGAGGGTGTGATAGAATTTGTCCGCCAAGCTTTTGAGCAGTAAATCTTCCGAACAATCTCAAAATTTAATTTCTACACATTGTGTGCGATTTCTGATTTCATTTGATTTTCCATACGGTTTTATACAAAAAAAATATTTCTTCAAAAATCTTCATTTTGATGATTTAATTTTTTGTGTCTAAGAAATTGAGGCAACGAATTTTGCCATAGGAAGAATGCATTTTATGAGAAAATCTAAAAGAGAAAAAACACAAGGAGTGAAGGATAAAAAACGGGTATTTTCATTCGCAAGGGAGATTATGTATGTTCACAAAATTTTCGTGAGCTTGTTGTTTATAAGTACATTTGCTACTTCAGTCATACGGTGGGTAGATACTGCCCCCGAATATTCTATTCATTTATTCATTTATTATATCAAAATGCACTTATAATGCGCCAAATCGGATATGGGAAGTGGTCGGTAACCAAGACATTATCTTCCTGGAACGAACAAAAGCAAAGTGGGGTCCTCAATAGATAAAACGTCATTTTTTTAAGAAATAACTTCCAACGAACTAGATATAGTTCGAACTAGATATACAACGAACTAGATGGAAGCAAATTTGATGTTCCCAAGCTAGAACATTCTAGAATCAAAAGAAATCTAACAGACATCATCCGCCAATCCAACAAATTCGAGGATAATTTTCAGAAACTTGAGCTGACGATGGTAGAGAGCTAACACTAACTTGGTGACAAACCGCAAACAACTGGCGAAGAAGATTTTTCTAAGAACTTTTTATATCCCCTCTTGTATGATGAGTGCTACTGTAATATGTGTATAAGTGACACTAAGCAAACAGACGAACGGAGTCCCACACTTCACGAGGTATTTTTAGCCCAGATGAGTTAACCTCACGATTCACTGGGGCACTAATAAGATGAATATGCTCTGTGAAGAAGTAAACAGATATGATTTAGCAAACTTAAGCAAAGCATGACATCGAAACTGTCACATTCACCGCAGATGCACATAAATTGGGAACAGGTGGTCTATGGGCGGAGAAACCAACAGAAACCCGTAAAAAATCGCACATGTGGTTTGTCAAATTCATGATGATAAAATGATGCTCAGCTGACTCAAGAAACAAGGTGCTCCAGTTGACATTTGTAGAAAAAATGGCACATGGGCACGTCAATATCAATAATTCGCTTTGAGCTGAAAGTACAGGTTTTATAGGATTTTTATGTATGATCTGCAAAAGTGCGTTAGACGTAAGGTATGCTTGATTTATCAAAAGTGCTTGACCTAATCTATTAAACCATCTACGTCAACAGAGCTGGAGAGTGCAAACTGCGTCCATATAAGCTCATGGACTTTTCTCCAGATGTTTTGATCCTTTCATGAATTCGAAATTCTCGCTATAGATTGATCTTTACATAGCAAAATTTTGAAAAGAAAAATTTCCAGAAAATTCTGCAGGACAAAAACGGAGGATAACGGCGTCATTCTCAAGTTGTGTAACCGATGTAAGATGACGAGCTCGTCAAGTCTGTTTACCCATATCCTTGTGATTTATTAGGGCTCAACGTCAGCAAAACCTCATGTAAAGTGACGACGTTAACGATGAGCAATTTATAGTTATGTGAGTAATTAATGGGCAGACTTGGGCTAATTTTAGAGCATTAAGTGATCTATAGCATTAAAGATTCAAGCTTTTTCGATGAACTGACGCAATTTTCACATGAGTAACGTATTTATAGATATTTAAAACGTATATGAGCGAATCCTCAAGCTATAACTGGAGATGAATAACAGAAATAGCGCAATCAAGACGTCACACGACGGCAATAAAGAGTCTAAATTGAAAAGTGAAGGAGTTTTTCTATCTGAATTTCTGTAATGGCATTCATTTCTTTTTTAGGAGCAATGGTACCCAGTTTGTCCGACTGTGGTTTTCAAAACGGGTTATTAGATTTTTTAGCGTCAGAAAGGCAACCATTTTCTGAAAGGGTGGGATCTCAAGCATTAAAGCACATTTTTCCATTTGCGTTAAAGAAACAGAATTTTTTAAATTTTTTGAAGATTAGATAACGGTTATTCCATTAGATAATGGTCACTAAGATATAAAAGATGAAAATTGTGAAGAATTTTGCATTCGATCAAGCACGTATATTTGTAACATTATAGCAGCCATTATTATGAAGTTCTCGCCAAAATTTCACTTTTTTGGTATAATTAGGCCTTACGAGCCTTAGCTGGTACCTCGGAAAAAGTTTAGAGTCTTACACAGCCATCTGGACCAATATATCCGTACAATACGACGATACTATACTAATACTATAATACTATACGAAGAAACAAAACCACTAGAAATGAAGGAGAAAATTCCCGAAAATAATACTAGATGCATAGGGAGGAGAGAGCAAAAGAGCTCTTACCAATGTTTTACTCCAATTTTGGCTAAAGGGATTTATGATGTAAAGAGGGATTTAATGTGGGATTACGGGCCAGACAGCTATACCTACGTATGGACTTAATTCCTGGTAGGGGGGTAAAAATATTATCTATGTAATACTCGAAAACTGCATATCAAATGATCTTACTTCGAAAATTTTCTAGTGCAAGAATAATACTACATTTCAGTTCGCATACAATTCAGTGTCACTTCTGCTTTACAATGAACAAATCGAGCTGAAAAGACGTTTCTTACGTGACTCGTCTAATAAAAACTGAACTGCAGCTAGTACCGATGCTCTTTCCCGATGGATCTGTTTTTGACAGATGTTTCGATTCTAATACATCTACGCACTGCCATTGACTAGTCTGGAAAGCAGCATCATAACCATGCTTTTTGTAGGAGATGATGTTAGTGTCTAGCCAACGAGTGTCTTTTTTGGAGATTTCCAAAAACGCATGCGAGTGACTTTACCGAGAAAGCAAGAAGAGCAGAAACGTTTTTGCAAAAGGCGAGTCTAAGAGTAAAGAAGGATTGATTCAAATTTGCATTTACCCTTTCATACTTGGCAGGCGAGCCCGAAAGTCTCTGCCATCAGAGGACATCCAAGACTACCTCAAATGGTACTGAAGAACATAAGGTGAAGAAGAGAAGAAATTTGACTCCATCTTATGTATTTCTTTGCCTGAGTTTAGCATTATACTAGCCGAAACTACTCGCCAAAACGAAATTTATGTTGAATGTAAAATTTAAATGTGATTTTATGTCCTCCAAATTAAGCTTTAGAGACCAGAATTTTTGGAGACTTTCAAAAACACCAAGCAATCACCAATTAGCATGAACGAGGATATTGAAACAAAAACAGGATGCATCATAGAGAGGTGTATATCCTGGCTCAAGATTTATGGTAAACTCATATCATTTTCAAGATGTAAGGCTTTTCAAAGATAAAATATTTAGACCAAACAAAAATGACATTAAGTACATAAATAATGATGTTTTTATTATGTTATGAAGATTTTGATCAAAGCAATTACGAAAATAGTGCTGGGAAAGAGGACATGGAAAATTGGCTTTGCAAAACAGTATGGAACAAAGTGTTGAGCGATTTGAGATGTTTTTGCTTAAGATTCAAGAGTGGAAAATATTTGTTAATAAAGGATAAATGATAAAGGATTAGGCATCTTCAGTACCCTCTGCGCCGAACGCACTCTACTTCATAGTCAAAAAGTTTAGTGAATGCGTTCGGGCCTATTATAGTGACACAGTGACTTGCGGGGGGGGGGGGGGGGCATCAGATCACTAAGTCAGTGCTTTTGTTCCCTCCAGATTACTCTGGTACCAATTTACGGGCCCCGGAGGGTAGAGGGCTTGGTTGCCACACGGGCGGGCTCGAACCTGTCCGATCTGGTCATAGCTGCGCCTCATACCGCTACGCCACTCGTTGCCTGGAATTATTTGTTACTCTATGGATATCTCAAATGATCAGATAAACATGATGCCAAGTAAACAATCAATAAAAATAATAGTGTTGCTTTTAAACTCACACTCACCACTAAAAATTCGAGAAAAATAGTTTGAAGAACCCTGACGATGCCATTCTATAAAGAAATAAAGAAGAAAAAGGGACAAGATCAAAAGGTTTGATCAATTGGCTGCGAAGCACTTTGCAAGAAAAAGAAACTTCATCTTTATCAAAACTTCTAAAAATTGCTTGAGGAATTCGTGACTGAAGCTTTTGTGGAAAAAAGTTAAGTGAAAAATAGTTTTAACACATTTGACTGCAAAGCCTTTGACAAAGAGGAACGTTGAAAATAATTGCGCTTATTTGTCTCAGAAAGACGAGTAGAATTCGTTTGGCACACTAAAACAAGGACTAGTCACCCTTTAATGAACAGCATTTGTCTTTGAACAAAAGCCTCGAGTGCACAATGAATACTCAATTAGTTCTCATTGATTAAACGTAATTGGGCAAGGAAAC